ATCCTTCATATTATTTCCAGTGAAAATCTCAAATGTTAGTAAGTTGAAATCTTAGCACACATTCTTCTTTTGGGGTTCATGCTTATTGCCAACAACATATTAGTGGTTTGTATTGGCAAGAATCTGGCAACACAAAATACATCACAATACAGGGGAGGTGTTATCCATCCATCCATTTTGGTCCACTTATTTGGGGGCGAGTCGCGAGGGCAGCAGCCTAAGCAGAGAGAGAGAGAGGCCCAGACTTCCCTCTCCAGCCCAAGGCATTCCCTGGCCAGCCGAGAAACACAGTCCCTCCGGCGTGTCCTGGGTTTATATTTTTGGTCTCCTCCTGGTTGGATGTGCCCACCAAGTAGGCATCCAGGAGGCCTCCTAATCATATGCCCAAGCCACTTGAACTGGCTCCTCTTGATGGGGTGGAGCAGCAGATCTACTCCAAGCCCCTCCAAGCTTCTCACCCTATCTCTAGGGGAGAACCCAGACACCATGTGGAGAAAACTCATTTCAGCTGCTTGTATCTGCAATCTCATTCTTTTGGTCACTACCCATAGGTGAGGGACCGGTAAATCGAGAGCTTTGCCTTCCGGCTCAGCTCTCTCTTCACCCTGATAGACCGGTACAACGCCCGCATCACTGAAGACGCAGCACCAATCCGTCTATTGAGTAGTTGGAAAAAGGTAGAATGTCTTCTCTGAGGCCAGGGATGAGGTCCTACCCCAAGTGGAGGAGTTTAAGTTTCTCAGGTTCTTGTTCACAAGTGAGGGAAAGATGGGAGATGTTATCTGATCCGATGTATCAGAGCTATTCAATTCTGGGCCTTGAGGGAACATTTTAGTGCTTTCTCTAGTCCAGGGATTCCCAAAGTGTGGTGCGCGCACCCCTGGGGGTGCGCGAGCTGCCGCTAGAGGGTGCGCGAGGTGAAAAGTGTAATGGCTGCGGAGCTCAGAGAAGTCTGTCATATGTCACCATTAGCATAGAAACTCATTTGTGGGTGGGCCAAAGAAAAAGTAAGTGGGCCCAATAAATGTAATTGAAAACAAGTATATTTTTGCACGCGCGCGCGTGTCCTCCGCATGTGCCCTAGCTTCATAATAATAATAATGCGCCGAGCTTCAGCACTCTGGCCTGCGCACGCCGATATGTTCCGTATTTGATCATTTTTAACGGTGTTGGAGGAATCTGAAGGTGGTGAGTCATTCTGGCAGATTGTAATTAACACCTGTCTCATGCAGGTGTTCTGACATTGTAAACCTCACACACAGGACATTGTGGATGTAACTAAATAACAAGAAATGATTCCCATTCAGGCTATTGACAGTGCGCTGAAGATCTGAAGTTCAGAGTGCGTCTGTCAGAGGTCAGACGTGTTCCAGCTGAACTACGGCTCACGGGTGCACAAGTGAGCACATCTGGGCTGGGCAGAAGTCATTTTACAACATTGGTTTAAATAGTGCGAGACGCGGTGACTTGAGCGGCTGTGCCGCGCGCGCGCGCACACACACACACACACACAGATTCAATAAGCGCACACGCTGCTTTAACTCCGGCGCGCCGTCAGACTGAAGGCAGAAATGAACGCTGCCTCCACCGTGATAAAAACTTTTAAGAGGTTATTTTTCATTCAAGGTCAAATTAAGATATTAGCTTCTGGGATGAGTCGGGTCCGCTCCAGCCAGTGACTCCTCATGAACCTGACTACAACTCATGTTACTGCAGCATTTGTTATTCCAGTCCGCATGACAGCGGATCGCAGATTCAGCCACGTCATAAAACAGCAATAAGTCAGTCTGAGGTAAAAGTGAACATCATGGCTATATCTTGTCCCCTATTGACATTTGATTACGCACAAGTAGGTGATCATCTCAGGTTTACGCAGAGCAGAAGGAAGGAGAGTGCTCTGGCCGCACAGGTTAAACGTTCCTACTTTAAGAAAACCGTTAAATTGCATTGTTTATGTGCTACCTGGGCACTCTAAATATTTATTTAAAATGAAATCAAAGGAAGTTGTAATGGTATTGAATGTTTATTAATTACTATTTAAAAAATGAAAGTGATGGGGAATTTTTTTAACCCTGTCTGTTTAGCTTGACATCTGATATATATATATATATATATATATATATATATATATATATATATATATATATATATATATATATATATATATATATACAGGTGCTGGCCAGTAAATTAGAATATCATCAAAAGGTTGAAAATATTTCAGTAATTCCATTCAAAACGTGAAACTTGTACATTATATTCATGCAATGCACACAGACCAATGTATTTCCGATGTTTATTACGTTTAATTTTGATATTTATAGGTGACAACCAATGAAAACATCAAATCTGGTATCTCAGAAAATTAGAATATTCTAAAGGCCAATGAAAAAATGTTTGTTTCTCTAATGTTGGCCAACTGAAAAGAATGAACATGAAAAGAATGTGCATGTATAGCACTCAATACTTAGTCGGGGCTCCTTTTGCCTCAATAACTGCAGTAATGCGGCGTGGCATGGACTCGATCAGTCTGTGGCACTGCTCAGGTGTTATGAGAGCCCAGGTTGCTCTGATAGTCGTCTTCAGCTCCTCTGCATTGTTGGGTCTAGCGTATTGCATCCTCTGCTTCACAATACCCCATAGATTTTCTATGGGGTTAAGGTCAGGCGAGTTTGCTGGCCAATCAAGGACAGGGATACCATGGTCCTTGAACCAGGTGCTGGTGGTTTTGGCACTGTGTGCAGGTGCCAAGTCCTGTTGAAAGGTGAAGTCTGCATCCCCATAAAGTTGGTCAGCAGCAGGAAGCATGAAGTGCTCTAAAACTTCCTGGTAGACGGCTGCATTGACCCTGGACCTCAGGAAACAGAGTGGGCCAACACCGGCAGATGACATGGCACCCCACACCATCACTGACGGTGGAAACTTTACACTGGACCTCATGCAACGTGGATTCTGTGCTTCTCCGCTCTTCCTCCAGACTCTGGGTCCTTGATTTCCAAAGGAAATGCAGAACTTGCTTTCATCAGAAAACATAACTTTGGACCACTCAGCATCAGTCCAGTCCTTTTTGTCCTTGGCCCAGGCGAGACGCTTCTTGCGCTGTTTCTTGTTCAAGAGTGGCTTGACACACGGAATGCGACACCTGAATCCCATGTCTTTCATGAGTCTCCTCGTGGTGGTTCTTGAAGCGCTGACTCCAGCTGCAGTCCACTCTTTGTGGATCTCCCCCACATTTTTGAATGGGTTTGTCGTCACAATTCTCTGCAGGGTGCGGTTATCCCTAGAGCTTGTACACTTTTTTCTACCACATTTTTTCCGTCCCTTCGCCTGTCTGTTAATGTGATTGGACACAGAGCTCTGCGAACAGCCAGCTTCTTTAGCAATCACCTTTTGTGTCTTGCCCTCCTTGTGCAAGGTGTCAATGATTGTCTTTTGGACAGCTGTTAAGTCAGAAGTCTTCCCCATGATTGTGGTGCCTTCAAAACAAGACTGAGGGACCTTTTAAAGGCCTTTGCAGGTGTTTTGAGTAAATCAGCTGATTAGAGTGGCAGCAGGTGTCTTCTATATTCAGCCTTTTCAGAATATTCTAATTTTTTGAGATACCAAATTTGGAGTTTTCATTAGTTGTCACTTATGAATATCAAATTTAAATGTAATGAACATTGGAAATACATTGGTCTGTGTGCATTGCATGAATATAATGTACAAGTTTCATGTTTTGAATGGAATTACTGAAATATTTTCAACCTTTTGATGATATTCTAATTTACTGGCCAGCACCTGTATATATATAGCCATGCCCCGATGTGGGGGGTGGGGGTGGGGGGTGGGGGGGTGGGGTGGGGGGGTGCGTCGACATGGTCGGGACATAGAAGGGGGTGCGCGGCTAAATAAGCTTGGGAACCACTGCTCTGGTCCAACACACTAGATTCAGTGGTTGAATCACCTGTGCAGCAGCTCATCAGGCTCTGCAGAAACCTGTTAATAACCGGCTGATTGAAATCAAGTGTGTTGAATCTATCTATCTATCTATCTATCTATCTATCTATCTATCTATCTATCTATCTATCTATCTATCTATCTATCTATCTATCTATCTATCTATCTGTCTATCTGTCTGTCTGTCTGTCTGTCTGTCTGTCTGTCTGTCTGTCTGTCTGTCTGTCTGTCTGTCTGTGCGCTACAGGCTGTACATTTGTACTAATCGAGTGTACTAATGTGGCTACACATCTAATTACATTTTTACAGCCTGAAGTTTTCTTTTTAAAACTATTTCTGTGGTTTCCTCTGCTATTATTTTCTCTGAGGATGATGTGATTTGACCTAGAGGCTGGAACATGGAACTTTAAGATGAAGCTGCAACTTCATGACGTGCATCATCGCAAAGAGCACAATCCAAAAAGTTAACTGACAATCACATTTCTAGGCAGAACGTGAGGTCCGTTATATAAGAAAGTAACAAATCCAGTTATCTAAAGCCCAGCCATAACATTATGAACCAATGATTGCAGAGCCTTTTCACAGTCACTACAGACTTTTAGACGATCCGTTCCATGTCATCCTGCAAGTTCAGAGAAGGAACCAGACTTCAAAACAAAAATTGACCCTATCAAAGTGTCTTTGTAGTACTTTGAGTGATCTTAGTACTCTGATAAAGGTGTGTGCCCTGCTGAACATTTCAGATCGGATGGATTTCTTTTGTGTTGATCATCAGCTTTGTGCTTACTGATCCCATTTGTTGCATCAAACTGAATGTTAAAAGATAAAATTATAATTTTTAAGCTATTTTAATCAATGCAAACAATTTTTTTACAGTATTATGTAGGCGACAGATGGAAAAACAAGTAAGGACAAACAGAGTTTGACAAGCTGTCATTAATGTTGCCATCCCTTCTCTCTGTGAAGTACACACACCAGATATGTAATCCAATCTGTCTTTTGGCCTTTTGTTTCCAACGAGGAGGGCCACAGCGGGTTGTGAGAGCTGACAGCACTCTTACCTGTGAATCTTTTTGCAGTTTGATGTGCATCCCCTTGTGGCCAGACAATGCCCTCCTCTCCACAGCATGGTGCCTGAAGTGATAATAATCTCCAAAAACCTGCAGAAACACAAGTGGGTGAGGTGGTGAAATAGCCTGCAACAACAGGACAGCCAGATAACGCTGCTCACCAAAGCATTCATGTGAACACAAGCAAGGCTGCAGACAAGAGTTCAGCTCAAAAACACACATTTGGTGGTCTGAAGTAGCTTTTTCTGTACATCTGTGACATATTTCTGAAATTCAAAGCATCTATTCATATTACAATGGAAAGATCCTGTTAAACTTAACCAACGTAAAATTATTTTTCATCCGGACACTGAATTATATTTCAAAATGACATTTGTTTCATAAAAACAACCCAAAAAAATCGCGTTTTTAGAGGGAATAAAAACACCCCTCAACAAAGTGATGCCGCCAACACCAAGGGGAACATTTCTCCTATCTGCATAAAGCTGTTTAACACACTCTGGAGAGCTATAAGGTGCAGAAATTCACCACACACCTGCAGATGGAAACAATCAAAACTGGTTAGATGCATTCCTAATACGTTTGTCATCGCTCCTCATAAAAAAGCTTTTAAGGACAAGTGATGGAATGACAGCTGTCACCAAACTGGCCTAAAACCTCAGGGGGTGCTTACTTTTCAATAGCCTCGCTATTAGGCGACGCACTCAGCATCCCGATCGTTCCCGAGACCTGAGAGTGAGATGGAGGCTAAATAATATGAACATACAGAAGTGAGTGCACTGCACCAGACAAAAATAACTAAAGGTGAAAGACCATGAAGATGAGAAACAAGCCAGCCAGTCTTTGAATGAGCACATCCACAAGAGAGAAGCTGCCATTTGGGGAGGAAGCATTGCAATCTGTACAGTGGTGCCGCTTGGGACCAGCTCACCTTCACAAGCCCAATGGAGCAGAGGAAGAGAGGGAGAGAAGGGGTGGAGACGAGGGGGTGGGGTGGAGAGGGGAGGGGAGGGGAGGGGGGGGACCCAGGGTTTGACAGGCCGACCAGGCAGGATGGATGTGTGTGAGGAGCAAGAAGAGCAGACGCAGCAGGATGGAAGGCTCCCGGGGCTGCAGACATACTCTGCAGGCAGGCTGCCTGCGAGGAGTCCAGACAGAAGGCGCGGGCTTTTAGGTACCAAGCCTGGCAGCACAGATACAACGCTGCCATTTCAACACTAGCCAATGTCACTTCACATGTCTAATATTTAAGATTTTAATTCACTTGCTGTGAATTCCCTTTTAAATAAAGTGAGAATCATAAATAAATGTCTCATTTTCATTTATCTATTTTTACTTCATATATAAAAGATCATTTCTTCTTCTTAATGTAATTAGAACAGAATAGAATAAACTTATAGTGAATAGTGATCCCACAGTGGGGACATTCACTTGTTACAGCAGCACCAACACTTAAGAGAATAATTCGATGAAGTATAATAACAAGGTACATGTATATAAACGTAGTCAGTAAGCTAGTATTGTAACCTTTGATAACAAAAAACCACGAGTAAAAAAATAAAAAACGGAACTATGCAGCATACTGCAAGGGACGCAGACATACTATGTAAATCAGGTATTGCACAAGTATTGAACACATACTGAGTATTGCATTGGTGTTATTGTGTAACAGGATAATGGTAAATGGCCTGTATTTTATATAGCGCCTTCTAGAGTCCTGGAACCCCTCAAAGCGCCTTACAACACAATCAGTCATTCACCCATTCACACACACATTCATACACTGGTGGGGATGAGCTACGATGTAGCCACAGCTGCCCTGGGGCGCACTGACAGAGGCGAGGCTGCCGAGCACAGGTGCCACTGGTCCCTCCGACCACCACCAGCAGGCAACGTGGGTTAAGTGTCTTGCCCAAGGACACAACGACAGCGACAGACTGAGCTGGGCTCGAACCAGCAACCTTCCGATTATGGGGCGAGATCTTGCCTCCTGTGCCACCATCGCCCACAGAATAATGCCAGTACAACTTAAACTGAGAACTTATTCAAATACTTACAGCAGAGGGGATGAAAGGTAGCATTCTGGGATGTGTCAGTCTGCCTCTGAAGGAGCTGTCTATGGTCTCCACAAATAAGAATGGAACAGATTTATAAGTGTAGGTGTCTGAAATAAATCTGACTGGATGTTTTAAGAAAACAAATTCTGATTTTAGGCTCAACAGCTTAAAGCTGTCATGGCGAATCTACAGAACAAGCTAGGTTTTGAACGAAATTCTCACCTCTCCCCTCGGGTATCTTCCCTGTCGGAACTGGAAGCCTGCGATGTTAGAGGAAACGAGATAGCGCTATAAACCAGTCACCATTTTTTAGGTCCTAATGTATTTTGTTGTCCGTGATTTCAAATGGTGTTTTTCTTTTTGGTCCTAAAGTTGAAGTGGTAGCAGCCGACTGTTTCTCCTTCTTTTTGAACAGAGAACCTCTCACACCAGCGGTGTTCTGTTGCTAAATACGTGAGTCTGTAAAGCCCGGAACACACTGTGGGGCTGTCGTCTTAGCCAAATCCCTCGTCGGGAGCATGATTGTGTAAAAAAAAAAAACCGGTGAATGTGAGGGTGATTTACAAATCTGTGGCGGTCCAGTGTCACCGGCTCTGCGACAGCTTTTTGAGCCCTCTCATGACCCAAATCAGCCTCAGACAGTCTACAAGCATGCTTGAAAACCTACGACTCCTGTCTGCAACCGACAATGAAAACACACCTTTGGGACGCCGCAGCAGCAAGACTCTGCCTCTTTGACCTTCGGTTTTAATTTACGTTTAAAATGCAGATTATAAACTACACACCAGCTTTTATTTTAATTAGCCCAAGTTACACCGGATTTATTTTAAAAATAAATAAACAACTTTTTCACATTATCAGATAAATTGTGAAATCCGTGATTCTGTGAGAGTGAGAGGAGATGTGCTCACAAACATAAAAAATAAAACACAAAAACATGAGATCCCTTTGCTGTTGGTGGAAATTTCACATATTCAACTGATAAGGTTGGTTCAGTAGCGTTTTGTTGCAGAGGGAGAGAGCTGCGCTCTGCAATCTGCCACAGAGCTGCAGAGCACTGAGACACAAATCACGGCAAAAGTTTAAATATTGCAGCGATCTGTGACTGATTGTTACTTCTCTGTAGTTTAGTGGGTTTTCATGTGCAAAGGAGGATGAGAAGGATGAATGTCCAGCAGACAGATCAGCTGTTTAGCTGGAAGATGGGAAAAGAAGACCCGCCGCCGGAGTCTGACGCCTAAAGCCTGATTCATGCTTCTCCGTCAGCTCCGCAAGGGACAGACACGCACGGATTGACGGAAGCGTTTTGCTCTCATACTTCTCCGTCTCCTGGAGAGTGTTGCAAAGCAATTGCCCGGCAGGACAACAGAGGGCGTAGCGCTGTTCTGTGGTACCCTGTCATGTATCGGTCCAAGATCGTGTGTTTATATTGTGTTTTTTGTGTATATAAGAGACTTTTAACACGGACATATTTGTCTCTCATTCTCCCACCGCTTCATGCGCTCCCCACCTCTAAACCCACGTTTCCTGTCATTTCCGTCCACAAACAAAACGCTTGCTGCGCATCTTTTCACTCCTCCAGTCACGGGAGGATGAAACGTTCATATTTTTAGAGTTTTTTCGCGAGGTAGTCTTCAAGCTTCTCCGTGTCTGCCGCTAGTTAAACTTGGCTCTCTTTGCAATGGCGGCGCTGTAAACAACAGCGGCGCCCTGACCAATCACAAGCTTGCATAATCCGTTTCGTTCGACGGATGTTTAAAAAAGTGGGCTCGACTCCGTACGTACTTGCGTGCCTGCCGGAGCCCTACGCAAGGACGGATAATGGCATTGCGTGTCTCCGCACTGACGCAGACGGAGAAGCATAAATCAGGCTTTAGCGAGTGTTTTAAAAACGAAGTTTCCTCTTTGAGGAAGATGAGTTGGGTCATGAACTGACTCAAAAAGAAGTGTTTGTCATGTTCTGCGGGTGGAGATGGCAGACCATGTGTGGTGGTGGGTTTTGGAGGCAGATGAGCAGGCAGACGGATGTAAAAAATAAAAAGCTGTTTATTGAAGGACGGGAGCACAGGACGAACGAACATGGACAACGACAATGAACCGACAAAGACAACAACCAGGAGGGAGGTATAAATACACAAGGGAATCAGGAACACATGGGCAGAGTAATCAGGGACAGGTGAGAACAATTAGGCTAATCAGGGCAGGAGAGACACATTCAGGGAGGCTGGGGCGGATCATGACAGTGTTTATCTTTTCAGCTTTGTTTTGGTTAGCGATCTACCTAGTGACATATGCTTTCAGGAGGTGTGCTCATGACATAGCGTGTCCTGCAGGAGAAAGACGTCGTGCAGTTTGCCTCACTGAAATCTTGTGTCGTAAAATGTGCCATCATTCTGGAATTCTTACAGTGAACAATCCTGTGCAACGGTCAAAAAACGCACAGTGTGATCCAGCCTTACAGAATGGAGGACCCAGGGAAGTGCAACAGTTCAACAATACCGACAACCGGATCGTCCAATGGTTGCATTTTTTTTTTTCTTGTTTCAAAAATCACCACAATATATTTATGGCTTTGCTATGTTAGAACATTGTTAAAAGGCATGAAAAAATGTTTTAAGCTAATTTGTTTCCAAATTTACCTTTGCAGCTTTAAAACAACTAAATATTTGAGTCAAGCCTTACCAGTAACTAGAGTCATATAAGCAACACATTAACAGAAGAGTACAGTTTTATTAAAGTAGGACAACAGGACACTGCTGGTAGAGATCAAGCTGACCCTAATTGACGATGAAAGACCATACAAACATTTGACCTCAAAAATAACGCCAAAGCAATAAAAGGTAATAGCTTCTGCATGATTCAAGTCTCAGGAGTGATGAAAGACACAAGCCTGGGATTTAATGAGACCCACTTTCACATTGATTGTAGGAGGGCATAAAGCTAATTTGCACTGCACCGGGGTAGCTTTTCTAGGGGGACAAACCTATTTCCCAGAGTGCTGATGTCCTCATTTAGAACCAGAGTCTTGGGGTC